GGTAACTGAGGTACCTATGGGCTACAAGAAAATCCAAATGACCTTAGTTATATCATAATCTGCAGTCCAAAGAAGGTCATCAGGAGAATGATGTAATAAGCACTTCCACAGCAGCAACCAAATAAGTGCAGTCACTTATTCCCACTTGTTCCTTATGCCAAAACAAAACTTTTTATGGACTACCAGAGCAGTACAGTAAACCTCAAAAAATATATGCATTTACATGCCAAATGACAGTAAAATTTGTATTGGTTGAAGGTAGATTTCTATCTCTGTTAAAAGATTATACCTATATATTATACCTATATATTTAAGCAAAAAAGCAAATGGCTAAATGAAACATGAAGAGCTGTGCTGTTTATGCAATAATTCTGTTCTAACACCAACATAACTAACTACTTAAAGGATTTTAAAGGAAGTAATAACTGCAGATATTTCTGTAAATGTAATCTGGATTCTGCTTGTCATGAATCCAAGCATGTACTTTTACATTCAAGGAAAAGCCGATTTAAAATATCATATACCAAGGGGGAATAAATGTATTTAAACATACTTATGGCTCCACAACAAAATCTTTCTAGATTTTTTAAAGAGGAAAGCAATATTTACAGCTTCTTGTAATTTATGTTGGACTCACAAACTATGCAATATATGTCATATATTGGTATTACAAATTGCAGATTATTTAGGTTTAGATTTAATTACTCTAGCTTTGTACATATCTTTCTGAGCTCAGGAAACATTACCAACAGAGAGCTCCATGTCTCTCTCAGATCTATTGCTACTCATATATTTAGACAAAATTTCCTCTGAATAACTGCACTGCAGAACTGCTAGTTCAGCACATTGAAATGAATACTGACATATTACTTTCTTTAACAGTGAATCATTACTGCCAGTAAATAATTCAATGTGGATGGATTTTGATTTGCCCTACATGGCTGCCTAAACACATTTCCATTTGGCTGCTTACAGCATTTTCAGTGAGGTCGGTTATAATGCTGTGTCATACTTTCATTTGCTAAGTGAGGGGTGTTACACTGCTCGCCTGATAGGCAGTGAGAAAGCCTACCAGTTCTTAGTAGAAACAGGGCTGTCAGTCATTTGGTGAAAGTGTGACTCAGCAGCTGCTTAGTCTGTAAAAGCACTCTGCACATCGGAGATAAACAGGAGGGGGATGTCTTTCCAAGCACATAAATTCTCTGGTATGTATATAAACAAAAATGTCCTTACCACCATACAGAATTTGTGTAATAATTTTTTTCACTCATTTATTTCCAATCTTCTCTTTGCATTCAAGGAAGAGTGTATAAACTGGGTTATTTAGACATTCCAAATTTTTGTCAGGGATTGATCCTTGAAGATTTCTTTGACTAAATTAAAGATACCCATTTTATTTACCAAAAAACTGTAGACACTAAGATAGGAGAGTGACTTTTAATTCCAACAAGAAATGGGTTTATAAATTTGAGTCATAATTATTCACAACTAAAAACCATCTTTCAAAAATAAAAAATAAACGGCTAAAAATTTTCAACACATGGACACCAGCCAACTCAGAATACTCAGACCTACAGCAAACACTCAGCCTAAAGACGTGAGGGAGAAGTCCTTCCTCAGAACATGCAGAAGAACACACATCAACATGAATACAGAACAACTGCAAAAAAAGTCAAGGCAACGCTTGCTATCATTTTATGAAAGACTCCAGTTCTAAATTTCATCCTCTAACAAAGGAGAAAGCACCTATAATATCTTGAACAATTTTCATTTTTTCTATGACAGGAATCCAGGGGAATGGAAGATTAATTGCAGTTTCTCTCAGATTGACTATGACTCTTTGACTTCAAGAAAGACAACCATACAATGTAGAAAAAAGGTGTATAAAACGCAATTTTTACTATGCAAAATATGGGGATTTCAAATGAACTGATCAGGAAGAAGTCTGGGGGGAAAAATTATCAGATGGAAGAAGTTTTTGTAAATGCCTAAGTAAGTTTTGTTATTGCTTATGACAAATATCAAACATGGGTTCAAAAGTGATTTAACAATTTCATGTAGCTGAGTACCAGAAACTATGAAATACAAACACATGGACACAACCTTTGGTTCAGTAAATCCCAAATCCTAAACATCAGATTGCTCGACCATTCAACTGCATGGTCCTATCCTCTTTCCTACCTTAGCCACAGAAAAATCCTCTATTGGTCACTGTCATACACTAAGCGTCAGATTTTAAAGACCTATTGTGATACTGTAAATAACAATTCTTGTGCTTTATGCACTGGAGTTGAAAAGCTGAATCTTAAGTTCAGTAGGTAATGGTTGTCTACCACAAAGTAGGATCCAGTCCTCAAGATGTTTCGGAATAGCAGTTTTGGAATTTTACCAAAACAAGGTTAATGCATACCAAGTGTTACACACGTGAATTTACAGAATAGAGATCCAGTTGTAATATGTTTTAATTGCTACCTGTTTCCATGGTATTTTTTACAAGAAGTACAAAGTGAGGAGTCGATTTTTTTGGTTCACTGGGTCTTTGTTATCCAATGCAGTGCTTGTTAAACTCCTGCCCTAACTGGCCTTTTTCTTTTTTGTGCACACACAATTACTCTGTCTAGTAAAGCACAGAATCCTCTTCATAACTACACAATTGTTCCAGTTTTGTTCCCTTCTGCATACACCTCTTGCACAGCAACCTGCCCAGATAAAAGTAATAATAATAATAATAATAATAATAATAATAATGATTTCTCGAAGTTGAAGCATTTTTAAGGGAGCCACAAAAAACACAAGTGACTCTCCAAAGATGTGAAGCATTATTTGGTTGACAAACAATGTCCTCAAAGATCTGCTGACATAATAAGTGATACTGATGCACAGACTGCCATAATAATGGCAATAACATCTCTGGGAATCCAAATGTGTATTTTAAATTATACTCTCTGCCACCAGCAAATGGTAAAAGAGCAAAAATAGTAGCTCGTATTCTCGTAAGAATCTAAACAAAAATACATGGAATGGCTCATAGAAGATGACAAGAGTTTCATTTAATTAACACATACCATTTCCAAAGCATTTCTAGAATTGTACTATACAAAAAAAAAAAAAAAAAAAAAAAAAAAAAAAAAAAAAAAAAAAAAAAAACAGACACCACAACCTTAAAAACTTATGCAAATTTCACACAGGAAAAAAACATCAGAGTTCGCCGAGTGGAAAAGATGAATCAAGATTAACAGAGAAATGCTATTTTTAAAACTACTAAAAATGTTAGAGAGTTAAAAATATAAAGTAAAAATTATTTTTATAGCAGCTGGCAATGTCCATTTAAGGCTGACAATTTCTTGGAGATTATTAGTACTACATATACTACATATCTCATGCAGCTTTCACTGTTTTGAGTATGGCTTCAAAACTCAGAATTGTTCCCTATTTTTGGCTTAAATCCACGTTATAATTATAGTGAATGTACTATTTTTTTGAGAGAATACTGCTGCTTATATTCTTAACATAGTGATTTTGTTGTTTTCATATTGCAAAACTGAAACTAGACTAGAATAAACACAGAGGGAAAAAAATGAAGGCTTAAACCAAGTTTAATATGTAACTCCAACGCACCATCACAAAGCCCAAGAGGCAGGATATGCAATCCTGCATTCCTTATGCACTCGTAATACCTCTTGGCTTCAGTGGAAGTTTTGTTTAAGAAAGCATATAATCAGAACCTATAATTTCATTAATTGCATGCCACAGGCAGTCCATGTGAGGTAAGAATCATGAACCAAACTGGTTGAAAGGATGGTGGAACCCATTAGCCCCACCTGCATCTTTCTGGACCACTGAGTCTATGCAGCAAAACCATGAATCCTTGTTTTCCCCACTCACCCATACTTCCAGCTCTTCCTCATGACAGACTGCATCCGTCATGCAGACAGCAGTGCAGACGTTTCATCCAGGACACAATACAGCTCTCAGGTCTCTGTTAGTGCTCTCCATTACCATCCTTCCCCAGACTCTTGGCAGTACTGAGGATTTCACCCAGTGCAGATCCCTACTCTGTTGGGATTCTTATTTTATTCATACTAGGCACAGACAAAACGAATGTTATGTAGCTATTAGTACAAAGTGCTTTGACATATTACATATTTCATTAGATATCCTTTGGGCAATTTAGGAAGTATCATCTAAAACCCTTGTGAACAGACTTGACATTTACAGTATTACTGTACACAAAACTTTTCCATGCATACCATAAACATAAATGACTCTACTGGGTGTGTGTTACAGATAGCTTTATGGTATCTCTCAAGATTTATTTATATATGTAGGAAGAAATAGCATGGGAAAAAAACCTCCCATGCTATAAAGGCCTTTTATTTACTAAAACATGAGAAGAAAGAAAAAAAAAAAAAAAAGAAAAAAACAAGCATGGGCACTTGCAAGATAACTCTTTTTCTAAACATAAAAACAAATAATCATATCTTAAAAGAAACCAAATGCAGGATGAAGAATGACAGGTGATGTTACAGTGAGGTGTGAATCTATAGATAGCTCTCCACTGCAAACTGACATTTAGAAGAACACAGCAGATAGTTCTTCAGCTACAAAACCCCCATTACCTCCCTATATAATAAATTGAAAACTCTAGTCAATTTCTACCTGTGTCACTGAGCACAATTCAATTTGTACAACACCTAACTAACTTACAGGTTTGTTTACAACAGGTTTAAAACATGAAGCAGGAACAGAATCTCCAGATTAAAAGTTAAAAATTCGTTCCTAACTATCCTAAATGCTCGCTCTTTGTAAGGAAGCTCCCAATGTGAAAAGGCACACAAAAGAACAAAATAAAAAGCAAACAAATTGAAGGTATAAAAATGAGGGTGACTTAGGGATAAGGAAAATGAAAACAAAGGAAAGGGGGAAAAAAGAAAAAATCACTTTAAAAAAGAGAGAAAGAAAAGCATGACAATGAAAATAAATGAATCGTTTAAACTATGATGGGAGGAACTGATGAATATTAACTTTTATTATTCCGATTACAAAATACATTTCAAAATTGGATGAAACACATCCTATGTATGTTTTGCCAAGGACATTCTTGGCAATTACAGAAATCAGAAAAATTATAATTCAATCAGTGAGGCATTACTTAAAACCACTTGAAAAAAGCAGATCATTTGAACCAGCAAACAGACTGCATGGGTAAAATTTTAAAGACTCAATATTCTGGAGCAGTGCAGATTGCACTCACATGTTGCAGAGTTCCAATAATGGGGCCATTATAAATACAGCAATTTTTCTTCCCGGATGCATTTTACCAATCTTTCTTCTCATAAAGGAGCAACGAAGCCTCATCATCGTTTTCTATATAAAATGAAGACAGTTCTAGGGGGAAAAAAAAAAAGCACTTGTAGAGAAAAGTTTTATTTTGCTAAAAAATCCAGTTTAAACTTTTTTTAAAAGCTGTACTGACCACGACAACCAGATCACATCTATAAAGATGGTTGCTGTATTTATCAGGCGCATGTGGGACACTACCATGCACCCAATCTGTGCGCTTGCCTTGAAATGGATGATGCAGTCCTTAAAACGTTACGAATACGTCATTTTGTCTGTTCTACACTGGCAAAACCACAATAGGTCACCTTGACCTCTATCATGTACAGTTTCACAGAACTGCTGACACCCGAAGAATGGGATTGACTGAAAAAGGCACCAGGCATTCACCATTCCCATTGGAAAAAGCGTGCCCTGCCTTCCCCGCAGTAGCGCTTATTTACATATCGCCGTGAAGGCGAGCGATGCAGCCTTCCGATTTAACCCGTCAGGCTGCCGAAGCCTTTGCAAATTGCCCGTTGTGCAGTCAGGCTTTCAGAGGACCCATACCGCCGTGGGCTGGGCGCTCCCGGGGCGATTCCACCGCCCCTCACCACCAAGTCGCGCTCCGCCGCGCCCGCAGACGGGGTAAAGGCGGCGGCCTTGCACCGGCAGGTGTGCAGGGCAGGAGCC